AACACTTAATATTCTTTGACTTTACACGGATCATACAATATGCCAATAGCTTACTCTGGTAAATCCCTCCCGTTCCTGCTGGTAGTAGTGTTCATGGTCTCCTGTTCAGCAGAGTTAACTTTTTCTTTGTATCTTTACGTCCCAGCTTCAAGTGGCGAATCTGCTCTCCAGTGTCTTTAAGTTACTGATGACGCACAAGGTGAGGTTCTCGGTGTTCATTTCATTCTCTTTAAAAGTTGTGCCAGGCTTTGCCATCTGAAAGATGGGCAGGGGGGAACCATTGGGATTGCATAGGTGAGGGAGAGTGTCTGAAATGTGCGGGGGGATCGTGCATGCTGTATTGCCTGCGATGCTTGGAAACGAGTGCCTTAAAGTCTGAGGCCAGTGAGGGTTTTTCCATCTATTTCAAGGGGCTTTGGATCTGGCCCTCAAGAACCTGCATTTCAGAACTGACGTCAGACCTTAAAAGGACAGTGTTGGTGTCTCCATTTATTTTTTCCTTACTGTTACAAGTAAAATGAAAGCAATTTGCTTTTTTCCCTGCATGCATTGCTTATTTATTGTAGGGTTGCGTAGGTGCACTGGGCTCTACACGCTGGTTTGTGAGGGGGTTACTCAGGAGGTACTGGCGCTTACTTTAAAGCGGAAAAAAATCACTTGTTTAATTGAATTCAGCTGAGCTATGACAATGCTTCTGTGAACTAGGGAGCATGCTCCATGGGGCTCCCTCCATGACAGTGTGGAGAGAGGGTGCACATTGCCCCTTTTCATGCGTGTGTACTTGCCAGGTCCATGGAAGCTCCTACAGCCGAGTTGGCACTGGGTAGCACTCCTAACTCCTGCTCCTCCATAGAGGGAAAAATCCTCTCCTATATGGAAGTGCAAAGTACTGTCTACTGGGCTGACTTAGGACGTCTCCTTTTGACATGATCAGCTTCCCCTCCTCAGTTCTGCTGAATTGCAGCGAGGCTGATTTGAAACTGAAGGGAAATGAGTGAGCTCCTGTGTCGCAGTCCAGCTGCCTACGCACATAGACGCCCTCCCAGCCCACACCCACCGCAGGCTGGCACCTCAGCGAAAGGGGCTTGGAAAGCACAAAGGCACCCAAGTCCATTATAACCTTTGCACTTGTGCTTTCAGGTGAAGCTGGAGAGTAACTTTGCCTCAGTTGTCTTTGCCATCATGGTTTTGGAAGGGCTTGCCCGTTCGCTGGACCCCGAACTGGACATCTTGGAGGCAGCTAAACCACTTCTCATCAGAACCGCCGCTTCTCTCCTAGAGTAGCAGCAGCCACGGACATTTGTCTTGCATTGCTGGGCTCTTTGGCAAGGACTGTCTGTGCTCCTTGGCAGCCGATGGGGAAACAGCCTGAAGCTGAGGACAGGCCCTCACCTCTGAGAAGCAGTGGGCTATTCCCCATTAAACTGGGTATCAGCCATCACCACCCAGGCAGCATCCAGGTGCCAAAGACCTTTCCAGCTGACTTCATGGTCTCCCATCCTGCCTATGAGAGAATGCTGTTCTACGACAATAAAGCCCTTTAATTTGTATCCAAGTTTGAGTAACAAATATTGACGTTGAGCTATGGCTTGGTGAGACTTGTTAGGAATCAGGCCTCCTTATTGATTAGTCCTACTTTGCTGAAAGGCTGAAACTGCAATGAGAAGGTGTCATACAAGTGGATAGATAGAAAAGCCTTGGAAATGCAATTGTAAACATCAGACATTTTGCAGCTTGAAATGGTGGGTTCTGACTCCCTTCGAGAGAACTTCACTTTCAGCCTTATGGGCGTTTTAGAATTTTACACGTTCATACGATCTGGTATTCTTTATTAGTTGGGTTTGACAGGATGTTGGGTAGTCCTTCAGCCTGACTCAAGTGACACTGTCAAGTCATCTAGGTTCCCAAGATTGCTATAATCTAATGGGGGAAGTAGTCTGGGTTTGAAACATCTTTTAAAAATGTTTAGATCTCACCGCTGTGATCAGGAGTTTAAAATTAAAAAAACAAAACAAAAAAAACACATCTCTCTTGTGGAACAAAACCATGTGTGAGTTCCCCCTGTAGGCTAGCTCCTAAAAGCTATAGTTGGATTGGGCTTTAAAGAGCCAGATCCATTTTAGTGTCATTTCAATCCCAGGGGAGGGCATCAGTCATAGTCAAATAGGGAGGGGAGAATATTATTTTCAGGCTTTGAAGAAATAGAAGCTATACATATTTTTTAAATAGTTGCTAAGCATCTCTTACTCTGGGGAGCTGGCGATCTCCATGTATTCTGTTGCTGGAAGAAGATTGCATCCTATTTAGTGTAGGGTTTGACACTGTGTACAAGCTCAGCATGGTTTTCCTCCAGCACCAGCAAATTAAAGATGGATCTTAGCGTGCAAGGAGCAGAAATGTTTGCTGAAGTCTGAGGAGCAGGGGCTCAAGCCTGCCATTAACTTCAGTGGATGCAGGATCAGACCCTGTGCTGGTTAGTGTGAATAGCAGTGACATGAGAGTGCAGAGAAGACTGCTGTTAAGACTATTTGAACAGGCAATGGAGACCTGGTTCCACCTTCCTATATTGACAGCATTCATTTGTCTTTAAACACTACCCTTCCTAATGGCATTGGAATATTACCCATAAGCCTTTCCACAGATTAAATGTTACAAAATGGATTTTGTTTTTGTTACTATTTTCTTGAAAGAGGAAGCACTCTGGGGAAGGATGTAATTTAAAACGCACCATTTATCAACCTCCTCTTGGCTGACACATTTTTGAGTCATTGCTAGTGTAAGTACCTTTATAGGAAACATGATTTTACAAAAACACTGTTGCTTATGAACGTCTGAGTAAAATAACTTCTGAATATCCACCTGTGAGAAGCTGCTGATTTTTATAAGATCTAACTTGCTGAACAACTGCAACTAAGGACAAGATCAGACAGCTTGTTATAAATATAATTTCAGAGGCCCGTGAGTCCATTTTTATATTGAAATGTTTGGGGTTTTTTTTCTTCTTCATTCTTTCCCCCTATACATCAAAGTTGTTAAAGTAACTAACTACATTAACTAAGTCATCATTATACTAGGAGTGAATAATCTGATTATTTTGAAGGAACAACAATATTCACTACATTGTTACTTTTCTGAGCCATCTGGCATGAGTGGTGATGCCTTGGTACTCAGTGTGACCACAGAGGCCTGGTGCCACCTACACAAGTGATTCAAATGTTCTGGCTATTAAAATCTGAAAAAAATCAAACATACTTTTCACTGTACTATGTTATCAATATCATTTCTATTTGTACTGCCCTGAGATCCCAATCAGGAGCAGGGTTCCTCTGTGTTCTTAAATCATTTTAGACAAAATGGACTAGTCGGTTTTTTCACTCTCAGGTTCTCATGTGCTAGCCTAATGCTGTAGAAATTTGGGTTATAAACAATAAAGGAGATTATTTGTTTTAAAGAAAAAGTTGGTTCCATAATTAAAATGCAATCACGGAATCATTTGTTAGTCATGGTTTGAGAAAGCTGTTCTACAAAACTCAAGTGAGGTATGCTGAGGTTAAAAACACCATGACTACAAGGCACTTTAGACTCAGACTCAAAGGTCAGAAGGGACCATCATGGTCATCTAGTCTGAGCTGCTTTTTCCGAGGTAAACGAGGCAAGGTCAGCCCAAAGCAGGTGTATAGTGCTGTGATTGCTTAGTTTGCCTTGTGGTAAAACTAAGATGCCTGGTCTTCACTGTGGTTTTACCTTGACAGAGCTCATGCTAGGTACCAGGTGTGTAAAAAAACAAAAACAAAAAAGCACCTTTTTAGCAGTCACGACAAGGCCCTTAGTTTGCTTAGAAAGACGCTGGATCCATGACCTAGCTCTATGTAACTGGTATTCACTGAAAGATCTGAGGGCATGACCTTCAAGCCTTATCTATGGGAATATGTTCTAATGCTTGAAGAGCAGAAAGTGCAAGTGGTCAGCTACTCTGCATTAAAAAAAGTTATAAAAAGATCAGTGTCTATAAACAGCTGGTTCTGTGAAGACGTGAATCGATATAATCCCTCATCGCTGTGTGTTTTGCATTGTACAATCAATGTTGTTCCAAGCAATTTGTTAGTTTCACAAAGTGCACAGAATGTAATGTAGTAGTAGTTTTATCTATTTAATTAAATCTTGGTTCTGTTATATTATCATTTGAAACACAATATCTCAAGTGGGGATTATTCCTATCATACCATATAGGAAATCAGACCATTTAGAGTTGCAGTAAAAGGGATTCTTATCAAATGAAGTGTTCTAAATCTTGTGTCATTTGTGGTCACAAGAGAGCATGTCATTAGTTACATTTCTGGCTAATTAAAGCCAAGGCTAGGAGCTCTCTGCTACTGAAGGAGAAGCTCAAAGTTGATACATACTGATACCTGATGATGCCAGGCAGTGGACTGGCATTCACAAAAGTGACAGTCATCACCCCTCACAGGAGTGGAAAGAAAAACACGTGGAAGTAGCAGTAGCCTGTATTAGTCTGGGTGTGATGCTTTAAAGATACTGGTGGTTTCCAAGCAAGGCTCTTGTAGCCTCCCATCCCCTTGCTGGGAAGGAAGGCTACATGCAGGGGAAAAATGTAGGACTGTACAGCAGAGCTGACAGCTTGTCTATGGCAGTGACCAGTGCTGAAAGCTTCTATACGGTATCACGGGCATCAGGAAGGAAATACTTCCTGTTCTCCAGCTGCTAATCTGTTTCTGCAAGAAGCATGAGAAATGGCAGCTCTTGTAATTTCATCCTAGAGTTCCTGTTCCAACCCTCCCCTTCGGGGGGGGTGGTGGAGTAAGCTTCGCCTGGCCCTGCCCACTCAGGCTGAGAGAGTGGCTTTTTACCCCCTGGTTAGGAGGGAGGCCACCCTCGCTCCCTACAGCCTCTCCTTCATAGGAAAGTGGACATGTACTAGCCTTGGTAATCTGAGCTGAGACTTCCCAAGCACGTCCATCAAAACACACAGTTTTAGGTAAAATATAAAACAGATTTATTAACTACAGAAAGATAGATTTTAAGTGATTATAGGTGATAGGCATAAAGGTCAGAGAAAATAAAAATGCACACATGCATTCAAAATCCTAAACTTTTAGTCTAAGCAAGAGTTGAATCAAACAGCTTTTCTCACCCTAACAGATGGTCCAAGTATTTTACAGTTCCTCAGTACAGAGGCTGGGATTACCTTCCAACCTGGGACCAACCTTCCCCAGTTCAAAGTCTTTGTCCACCAGACATTCTTCCAGGTGTTGAGTTGGGTGGGAAGAAAGGCCAAGTGATGATGATGTCACTGCCTCTCCTTTTATGCTTTCTTCCAGCCTGCCGGAAAGATCTTTGCTGTGATGTGGGTTAGTCCACCCCCATGGTGTACGTGCCTTCTCTGAGAAGTCTCTGGGATAGTGAATTGTGTGTTGATGAGCTATTATTGCTGCCTGGCTATTGATGGCTTTGTTGTAACTGAAAGGCTGCTTGTGTGTGTGCCCAACCTCACAACATATAGCAATACTGCATAACTTCACATATAATGACAGCACGCACAATCCAACAGGAGATTAATGTTCAACAGATTAAAACTTTTAAAATGATACCTCACAAGGCATACTTTGTACGAAACACATCCTAATCATATCACAGTAGTGAATACGGGGGCTCCAGGGTGCTACTTTGAGGTACAGAGTGTCCAGAGCCAGTGCAAGGATGTTTCGCGCCCTAGGTGAAACTTCCACCTTGCGCCTGCCCCGTCGCCCTGAGGTGTCCCCCCTGCGGCAACTCCCCGCCGCCCCCTTTCTCCCTCCCTCCCCTCAGCCCAGGGAGCTGTGTAGCAGCTTCCTGCCGCCCCCTCCCTCAGCCCAGGGAGCCACGTGCAGCAATTCCCCACCCGGCTCACCTCTACTCCGCCTCCTCCCCAAGCATGCCGCCGCTTCTCCCACCTCCCAGGCTTGCGGCCCCAATCAGCTGTTTGGCACGCAAGCCTGGGAGGGAGAGAAGCAGCGCGGGGCAGTGCTCAGGGGAGGAGGCGGAGCAGAGGTGAGCTGGGGCGGGGAGCAGTTCCCCTGTGCACCACCCCCCCCATTACTTGCTGCAGGCGGCCCTCCCCACGCCCCCCCTGCCCCAGCTCACCTCCGCTCCACGGCCGCCCCCAACCACTTGGTGCCCTAGGCGACCGCCTATTTCGCCTAGTGGTTGCACCGGCCCTGAGAGTGTCACACCTAGTCACATGGTTCACCCCCTTGCCAGTGCTGAATTGTTCACAACAATAGATTTGCTTTGGCTGTGCCCAAAGGCTAGTTTAAAATGGCTACAGGGATGGGGCTTCCACAATTCCTATGGGAAAGTAATCCACAGCTTAACAGACTGTGCTTTCTGGAAGCTTTTCCAGACATTCAAATGTTTCTTATTTTTATGTCCCTACTCCTAAGCATACCTCTTGTAGAAGCCTAAATAATTATTCTCCTTCCTTGGTGTTTACAGCCTAATGTTCCTCTTCACTGGCTAAGTTATACAGTATTTTTATTTTGACTCTAATCATTATGATACTTCAGTCCTTCCAATTCATTGCCATCTTCCTTTCACTGAGGGGCTCAGAACTGAATGCAGTATTGCAGGGATGCTCTCATTGGAGTCCCACAGGCAGGGCCTCTCACCTTCCTGCTCCCTGGGATGCCTATGTCCGAAACTCAACATTGCGCTGTTTTTTTTTGGTAGCAAATCACACTTCAAATTCCTCTCTCGTTTGCTGTGCATTATCATCCCTAGCCCTGACCTGGGCTGTCTCCATCTGCTAGACTACCACACGTGTAGCACATAAGGCACAAGGAAGCCAGACAGCTGGGTCTCTTCACATTGGATAGACGGGTTAGACTCCCCAAAAAGAAAGGCATATAAGTGACACATACCTGAAAAGGCCCTCTGGCTGTGATGAAGGGGAGCTATCAGATAGCTCTAATAATAATAAATCTGCTTGTTTCAGTGGCACCATTTTCTAGGCCCAGCACACTGACTCATACTTACAAGATTTACAATGCTCAGAGGCCTACTTGCCTACGCGAAAGGCTTTTTATGACAGCAGCGAGGCCCGGAGCATCAAAAGATTCTGCTCTCTGAGGTACTGCTGGAGGTGATGATGTTTTTGGCACTCCTTTTCCAGCTTCTGTTGGAAATGGTCCCGATTTTGGAATGCTCTCCATTTGGCATCCTCGCGCTTCCTCTGATGGGTGTCCTGCTCCTGGATTTCTCGTTCTAGGGTCTCCTGCCGGGATTGCATTCTGCTCCTCAGCAAATCCTACAGCAAAGGGAGTGAAAGGATGTTTGAAGTCCTACAACCGGCTCTCAGGCTCGGTTCCATCCAGTGCCTGTTACTGGCGCAAACAGGGAATGGGGTAGTTGTGAATTTGCCACAGCTAGCGCCTTCTAAACAGTTCTCTGCATGGACTCCTGCTACAGAAGGCTGGCATGCAGCATTCTGAAACAGTCCTTAGAGATATGGACATCTCCGTCTCTCCTTTCATCAGTTTGTATATGTTAAATTCACATTTCACATTTGTATCTCCAAATAATATCACTATTTTAGACAGTGCATTGCTTCCAGTATAGGAGAAGGAAGAGTCCAAGAAAAGCAGTGAAATAGCCCTTACCTGCCTCTTTTTATCTTGATCACAGTTCCTCTGGTTGTATTCTACCTGCAACTCCTCTCTCTGCAAGCGCTGTGCCTTTAAGAACTGCAGCCTTTGACTCTCCTTTCTCTTCTTCTCTTCCTGCAAGGAGGACTCCTTTCTGCTCCTCTCTGCCCTGCCAGTCTGGAGCTTTGCCATGTGCTGGCAGACCATGTTATTGTACTCCAGTTGCTTCTCCAAGCTTTGCAGTGTCCTCTGAAGAGACCGCTGTCTGTGTCCAAAACAGAATTTCCAGAAAGCTTGTCAGAAACCAAGAGAAACAAAGGGAAAATGTCAATGTCAATGAATAGGATGTAAGCCAGAAGTCCTGACAATTTTTGGACATTGAAGCTACAATACCACTTTTTGCAAGGTTAAGGAGATTAACCCCAGTCTCCTGGACAAATTCCTGCTCAAATAATTACTACAGATGGTGGGAAAATAGTAAAAAAAAAAAATGTGAAATTTTGTTTTTGTCTAAAGTTTGCAACCATCGCTAGCTATTACATTCTACATCCCTCTGTTCATCTTGCAATTTCAAGCCAACATGTACTTTACTTCCTGTCTTATTGTGCCCAGTTTTGTTACTGTTAGAACAGGGGTGGCTAAACTGCAATTTGTTGCCAAATGCAAGCCTGCATTTACAGTCTACAATATAGCCCAAGACTACCTTAACCTTCAATAGAGATGCAGCCTGACTCCGCAGGTCCCAACATACACTATTTTTTCTTCACCAGCATATGCTGAGATCAGATCAAGATGGGGCTTGTCTACACAGGAAAGTCAATTTGAATTAAGGTAGGGTGTGAATTCAAAGTGAAATATCTATTCCTGATTAATTTCCTGTGTAGATGCTGTTATTCCAGAGTAAGAGTGTCTTCTTCTGAATTAGCATAATCCACTTCTAAAGTGGATTACGCTAATTCAGAAGAAGGCACTCTTATTCCAGAATGAGAGCATCCATACAGGGAATTAATTAGGAATAACTCCTTGTGTAGGCAAGCCCAAAGATGAGGACAACTGTGGTCCTGCTCTATTGCATGCAATTAGGTGTTGCCCTCGCAGGAAAGTGACCAATGGAGATTCCTCAGCTGGGCATAATTTTGACTCCTCTGACTCATAACAAAATATAAGAATGTTTTCATACTAAAAGATGTCTCTGATTTCATGAGTCACCACTGGAAATTCATCAGTTAATCAAATTTCAGGAAGAAGAAGGTAAACTCCAGCTGCTGGGGAGGGCAGAAGGAGTACATTTCAGAACCATAACTAAACCAACTGTACTATTTAAGGGCCCAATCCTGCAAGGTGGTAAGTGCCCTCCCTTCCCTCAGAAGTGGATGGGAGTTGAGGGTGCTCAACCCCTCCAAGTCTTAGGCTCTAAATGGACAATTGTGACCACCATTCAGCCACTAGGGTGGGGGAACACTCTATAAACATTTAAAATAAATAGTACCAAAGGGCTAGCTCAGGAAGCACGCACTACAGAATACCCGGTACTTATAAAGACATGGAGAACCCTCAGGAGTTGCTGAAATCTTTCCTCCACGCTCTGACCTCCCACCTGCACCCCACACCATTACCGCCTGCTGTCGCGCATCAACTGCCGTTTGAGGCCTTCTGCCTCTTGCTGTTGTTCCCTCTTCTGCTGTCTCTGCTCCGCTTGCTGCCTTCTGTGCTCAATCCTGGCTGTGTTGAAGTTCATCTTTCTCAGGCTCTCTTGAGTTGCACCTTTGGTGACTGATTTCTGAAAGAAAAAGTCCTTAATATCAGTAAAGGTTTGTTCCTAATGTAAACTGAAGTCCTGTATAATCAGTAAGGCTTAGTTTTCCAACGACATTCGTGAGCTCTGAGAGCAACTCTATGGACAGGTCAAGCATGGTCTATAACTTGCTGGGTGAAGGAAAATCCAGGTACTTCAAGAAATGGTATTCACAATTCAGTTGGCAGCACTGTTGCAGCTTAGTCAGCATTTATGCAATACACAGAACTGCCCTATGTTGTTGTTACAGCAACTTTTGGATTAGAACAGAGGTTCTGACCACTTGTGGTTATTAAAAATCCCACTTTGGATTTTACAAGAGTTTGGGGTATTAACCTACATGTGCTAACAAATTCCAGTGGGGATAACTACATTCTGCCTACCTATGGCAAAGGAAATTTCTCCCTGTAGTTTTGAACAGATATTATATTTGTCACTTCCTGGGGTGTAATGTATCCAGAGGTGAGTAGTTGCCATGTTTCACATAAGAAGTGGCTGTATTTTAGTGCTGGAGAGTGTTTCTTATTTGCCGTTTGTAAAAGCATATCCTTAGGGATGAAAAGCATGAGCAATGAAGTATCCACTGAGTTTTTATCTCATTGTGCAGTGTTTACTTTGTCTCCTGAATATGCAGTGTACTCCTAACACAAGTGTACCTGAAGGGAGGCAAATCATCCTGTAATTAATCACTGAAGCTTCAGATCCAAGTTTTAATTTAAATAACAATAAGCTATAGTTCTGTTGCTTTAGGAACTTGAGGCTGCAATTGCCTTCCCTATTTTCCTGATTGTCCCTAGAAGGCTCATGTAATGTTTCTGCTGCTTTTTAATTAAAAAATCTTTTAATTAAAAAAGTCAGTGTCTGAAGCTGTAGGTATTTTTGCAAAATCTCTCAAGTGTTTTGCTATTCTTTGCTGTGTGGCATGTGTATTAATTTGCAAAACCTAGGCCCTGTAAGTGGTTCATGCTTAATGTGTTACAGTTGGAAAGATTTAAAACAAACTTCAAAAACTTAAACTTCAAAAAATTAAAAGGTGCTTTATAAATGGAAGATGAAAAAGCGGTGTGATCTAGTGCAGTGGCTCTCAACTTTTCCAGACTACTGTACCCCTTTCAGGAGTCTGATTTGTCTTGTGTACCCTCACATTTCACCTCACTTAAAAACTACTTGCTTACAAAATCAGACATAAAAATACAAAAGTGTCACAGTACACTATTATGAAAAAGTGCTTAGTTTCTTATTTTTACCACATAATTATAAAATCAATATAATAAATATTGTACTTACATTTCAGTGTATAGTATATAGGGCAATATAAAGAAGTCATTGTCTGGATGAAATTTTAGTTGGTACCAATTTCACTAGTGCTTTTTATGTAGCCTGTTGTAAAACTAGGCAAATAATTAGAGGAGTTAATGTACCCCCTGGAAGACCTCTGCGTACCCCCAGGGGTACATGTACCCCTGGTTGAGAACCACTGATCTAGTGGTTAGAACACAGTACTGAGGACTAGTACACCCTCAATTTTCATCCCAGCTTTCACATGGACTCCCCCTATGGCCTTGGGCTAGTCACTTAACTGCTCTGTTCCTTGGTTTCCTTATCTGTAAAAGAAGAATTATTGTCTATATCTTGCAAAGATGATTGAGAGGATTAGTCAGTATATGAAGACAAAAAGCTCCACAGAAGGGTTCAGTATTAATATCAGCATACAAGAAAATGTCCTGTTCCTGGACAATGACAGCATGTATTGATGGGGGTTTGATGTTTGTATGTATCTTCTGTTGCAGTACATGTCATCATAAAATGGACAAAAATGAGGCCATGCTAATTGATTTATACCATGCCATGTGAATAAATCCTGTGAACCTAATGGCCAGGAACTAATTGGGCCAGATTGGGTTAGCTGCTTTGAACCTCACTCCCCACATAAGGCAGCCCTTAAAACAGCATAGTCTGCCCCGGAGGATTACACCATTGGAGGATTCCCCCACAATACGGTAGAGGTACCTACACCTCCAGCTGCCAGCAAAGAGTGTGACTGGGGCATGGCCAGGTATCCCTGTCCTCTTGACAATCAACATAAATTAGAGCAGCCCTTAGGCTGTCTAATTTATGCTGGCACAGAGATGGCTAAGGATAATGGGAGTTGGCTGCACTGGAGAATTTGAGCCAGTGTCCAGTAGTCAACTCATTCTCCTGGCACTTAGCCAATCAGAGATCAGATTTCCTTACTTCTAATTAGGCTCTTATGGAAGTAACCTTTCTGGAAATTGACAAAAAGAACTTTGTGGCACAAGCCAATCATGAATCTGTTCAACTGATTTAAACAGACATTGACCAGGCATTGGGTCAGCAATAACAAATGTTGGCTTTATTTTTCCTAGAAAATCTTGTGCGCTCTTAACCTGTATACTCGGAGCGCTGTGGGGTCTCTGTATATGCAGAACTGATTCAATGGTCAAGCGGTCTTTCTTCAGTGATTGATCCACTCGGTCAAACATAGCTTGGAGACTGGAAGTGCCGAAAGCATGTGCTTTCACGGGAGGGTTCCTTGGGTGATGCTGAGCTGGAGCTTCTGTCATGCTGGACTGAAAAAGAGCTTTCAGACAAATTAGAGATATAAAAGGTGATGGACACCTTACAAAATGGTGAACAGATAGACAGAAAAATGTGTTAAAGTAAAATGCATTTAAGCAAGATCTTTTTATTACCAGTAAGTACTAACATTTCTTCCCAAGGAAATGAGAGCATTTTCGTGACCACAGGATGGTCACCACTTTCAAAAATAATCCTGCCAACATAGACAAGGAGGAGTTTTTACCCAGTAACTGGGATGAAGCATTGACTGTGCTCACATCTACTGAGCCTCCCTCAGTAGGAGTTACTGTAGGGAATGCTGTTGGAAATCCTGGCTGTGAGGAAATGTTCACCTCTGCTATACCAGCTTCAGCCTCTCCTCGTAGGAGGCAGGACAGGGAATGGAACAATAGCACTAAATAGGTGATGTGGCTGGAGGAGGCTTTTGGCCTTTGGAATCCACTCCCAGTTGCCTGCACATCTCACAGATCTCTCTTAAGTGAGGAGGGCATTGGTTAAAGGGGACTTAATTAAAAGATATTTTAGACTATGAACCTTTTTTATAATACTAGAACAAGGGGTTACACAGTGCAATTAAAGAGCACTAATCTCTTAAATTAAAGTGGCAATTAAAAAGCAGAACAAAGAAGAGCATGTATTTCTTCACAAAGATTATAGTCAGCTTGTGAAATCCTTTGCCACAGGCAGTCCAGTCAAATACTACAGTCAGATTTTAAAAAGGGTAGGATAGCTTTAGGACTAATAAAATTTGTAGTGCATGCTAAAATGGGGCAATCAAAGCTCTTACTTCAGGGAAGGTGGCAGCTGCAGGAGCCCGAAAGGAACTGTTCATGTCTCAGAGGAAGGTAAGTAAATCACCATAGTGCACAACCACTAGCACCTAAGCATAGCAGAGCACGATTGACCAGATGCATTATGGTGTTTTTTCATCTTCCTTTAAGGCACCAGGAATGAAATACTGACAAAGACAAGAAACCAGACAGGAAGAACCAATGCTCTCATCTGATATGGCATGTCCTAGGCTTGTATGAAACAGCTAGTTGATACAATATCAATACCAGGTTCATTCTTCAGAAGAGACTCGGGATCAGCCCCACAGTGTTTGCTGTCTTCTTTGTCATTGTGCATTGACTCCATTAGGCAGGTGTTTGGGTGGACAGCAATATCAAGCATGGCACGAGCATCTCCCATCAAATCTGCTGAAGCCATCTCCTTCCGAGGGCTCTGGAAACAACAGGAAACTATCAAAATGCTTAGCCAGTGGGGAGTAGAATGTGTCAGTAACATGAATTTACAAAATAAGCTACCGTATGATCTTGTCATTACTGCACTAATCCCATGGTTAGTGTAAACTAACCCTGGCTGATACTACTTGAATGACTGGGGAGCCTTCAGCTGGAGGGAAATGTTGCTTGGAGAGGAGTCACCATTGCTGACACAGCGGTGACAAACTTTACTGTCATTTTGACATGGACACAAGCAAGCCAAACTTATTGAAACTGGGGTTTCAGAAGGAAAATAAAACTGGTTTCTTTACTCAAGGAATAACTGAAGTCTTTAAACATAGGCGTTTCTGCCCATTTCTTAGGTTTGTCTGTATCTAAAAGCTACCCCACAACTGGCAATGTTTCTGCATTAAAGGGACCCAAAATTGGAGTAGCAGGCCAGGAATAAGGTGCATTGGCAGACACGCACTAGTAGGAGGTGAGGTAAATCAGAATTGTGGTTCCCTGGAGAGCCACATGAAGAAGCTAATGCACAATACCTGCATGAACTAGGCCTCATTCTAGCTGATAGCCTGCCCTTCCATGAGCACCACATTAAACAGAAAAGGAAGAAATGCATTCATTATTAAATTGCAAAATCTCGGTGGGGATCCTCCGTTGTGTAAATTGTCATAACACCAGTGATTTCAAGTTACTGAGTGAGGTTCTCTGGCTTGTTTTATGAAGGAAGTTCAACTAGATGATCATAATGGTCCCTTCTGGACTTAAAATGTATTAATCTATGAATGGAACTCTGACAATTTATACTAACTGAGAATCGGCTTCTAACACTCAGCCCAAGGAATTATTTACATTACAAACAAAGAAAAATGAAAACCCTGAATTCTGAAGGACTGTTTAGTATTACAAAGTGCTTGTGTATAAAAAAAAATCTTCATTCTACTCTTTGGTTTAAAAATCTTTGGGGGACCATATTTGTTAAAGCCAAAGAGACTGATTAGTGTGCACAAAAATGCCTATACTTGTACAAGCAATTACCATGATTTATACATGGGCAGTAGGTATGCTGCCAGTTAATTGTACAGACATCTGATGCAATAAATGTTATCTTTGTATGTGCATTTAACACTGTATTATTTCATATATTAATGCAGAACAACAATAACCAAGCAAATCAAATGTTAAGAGTGAAACATACAAGTTACCCTGGAACCAATAAACATGCCAAAAATACCTGACTGTGGAACCAATATAGTCCAGATCCTCACTCTTAGTCCTACCCCTTTGTGTCATGGATGGAGCTGCCTTAACAGGGTGAGTAGGGATTCCTTCTGTAGGGGAATCACTGAGTGGTACAAAACCATCTTAGCAACAGCCTGTCCTGCCCATACCCACACTGTAAAGGGGGCATGCCAAGGCAGGATGAGGTGTGGCTAGATTGTGTTGTGCTCCAGTGATCCTGAGCAGGTGGAGTAGCCACTAGGAGTCTATTCCAGCCAGTGCCAGAGAATGAATGAGAGCCCAGCTATTCCCTAGATCAAAGGCTCAGAAAGATGGTAGAAAGCCATCTATGATTTCCGCATCCTTAGCAGAGCTCAATTATACATGATAATCTAGTCCAGTATTTTTAATAAGTTTTTGCCACAGAAAACAGAATCACAGGATATTACTGCAACTATAGCAAAGGATGTTGTAATACCATAGTCAGTATGAAGCACTCTCTACCTTCTTGGGCTCTGTAACCTTGTTTCCTATCTTCACACAGGATCCTAAATCTTTAGGGGCATTTTCTTTCTTTAGTCTCTTCTTCTTTTCCTTTTTATCTTCCTCTGTGGAGACCCTTTCTGAAATGGGGACTCTCCCTTTAGACAGCTGCTCTTCTATCTTCCTGCTCAGCTCTTCTTTGGTCAGGCTTGTTCCTGGGATCAGGACATCTTCTGGTTGTGCTCTGTTCACTGTGGGCCTGATGGGCAACCAGGCTCTAAGGCAGCAATGGCAAAGTGAGGAACATCCAGAGCTGCAGTTAGGACATGACTGAACCTGTGTGGAACCCTGCCAGCAAACTAGATCCTGTCTGCAATGCCCTGAAGCTCTGTAACCAGGTGTCACAATGTAGGGATAGTCTGAGCTTGAGTCCACCAACATTTGCCTGGCTACTAATGGCATCTGAAGTTCCAGGAGGATGCGTTCGCTCAGGGGCAGAGGAATCCGTACAGCTAAGTCAGAGGACACCTTCTTAGTCTGACCATTCCAGAAATTCACCAGCACTCTGCTATTTCCACTGGCTGCAAATAGAAATAAATGACAAACAGCACTTTAGAAGCATGCCAAAAACATGCCTGATTGACCTCTTGGAGACCTGGAGATGAAACACAATCTTGTACTATAGAAAGCAGGGAAAGATTTTGTAACCATTTAAAAGTGGCTTTGCTTTATATATTTAGGATTCACACTCATCTCTTTCAAACTTACTGAGAAGACAATGGTAAAATCCTGTCTTCACTGAAGTCAACACAAAACTCCCACTGACTTCAGTGAAGCCAGGATTTCACCCAATATGCATCTGGAGAGTAGCCTAAATCATCTGGGTACATGAGAGGCCCCAGAACCCTTTTTTTTCTCTTTATGTCAGAAGTGGTATCACCTGGCTCCACAACAGATTAAATGCTTTCAAAGTCCCCATTCACAAAGCAGCCCTACAGGTTGATTCATGAAGCAGCACAAAATTCTGGCATTGAACAGGAAAAGGTTACTCAGCAGCACTGAAAGGAAAAGAGACGGAAAGAAGAGAGGAAGATATTACAGATTGTATGCTCCTTGTGGCAGACACTGTGCTTTTCTCTCTGTATAGTGTCTAGCACACTTCAAGGTGCTACTCCAATATAAATAATAATGGGAAAAAATGTACTGTACCTAACTGTGCTTCACAGCTCTCTGCAGCCTTTAGTACAGTGCCTGGGCCATATCGTTCACCTTTAGCCTCCCATGGTGCCAAGACTCTGTCTCCTGGAGCCAGTGGCTGTCGCCTGGCATCTTCATAGTGGATAATGTCATAGAGGGGTGTTTCTTGCATGCGAAACTGTACTTTGCCTTTCAGCAGCCGACTTCTCTCAAACTCAATTAAAAAACGTTCCCTGGAGCCCTGCAGGATTAAACCATGTGGTATGCAAGACAAACAGGTGAGTCCCACAAATGGCCAAACACAGGGGCTAGGGGCTGCTAACACTAGGGAGAGGCAACTGGCAAAAATTCTAAAAAATAGCACATGGTCGGAGAACCCACTGAACCTAGAACACTACTTTTTTTTTTACTCTGTTCTGTCCAAATCAGGCTTTAAGGGTAGTTAAAGAGCTTGAAGACCACAGCGGATTACCAGGTAAAGCCCTCCCCTCCCTCCACTCTTGGATCTTGCCAGAATTGTGTTCACTGGAGATGAGCAGCACAACTGCCATGCTAAGGAAGACTTCTATCACCCCAGTCAGTTGAAAAAGGGTTGCCAAGACAGACTGCTTTTTGCTGCATGGTCAGTTACATAGTAATAAAGGGGAAAATAAAATGGTAAAATACTCCCAATGCCATAATTTTTACTGCTTTAATCTGAGCATCCACCCTAGGAGTGGGGAGTAATTCAGGCAATTCCTCTGCTCCACAACTGGCAAATTGTTGGGAAAGCTCAGTGTTAAATTCTACAAGTGCCAAGAAGCCAACACCCTTTTCTTCTGTTTTTCCCAAAACAGTCTGCTTCCCTCCTGATTAAAACAACAGAGGGCATGGTCTTTTCCACTATTAGGGTGGGTCACAGAGTTAACAATGCTGATATAGAGCCGCTATTTCAGCCAGCCTGCCCCCTAGTATCCTCATCCTGAACTCAGTCACATCATCTTGCAAAATGTTTGATGACCACTGGCCCAGATAAAATAACCTCTGAAGGGCTTTGATAGCATTTTCCTTTTCCCTCACAAAACAATGACTTATATGAACTGTATTGAGGATTTCATACAGGGAGTGACTCTGCACATTTGATAGTCACATTTGTTTAATTTAAGTGATCCTTAGCTCAAACCCTTGTTCTATACCCAGCTTTTCCTTGTATGGCTGTGAAATACTCCGTTGACCATAAAAGGTTGCTGATTGCACATTTCCAAAGAGAAGAAAGCAAAGGAGGCCTGAGATTATGTCATCTTAAAAACCAAACAGAATTCATACCAATGAAATTCTTCAGTGAGCATTCCCTTCTTTAGAAAACCAAAGTGGGTTTTAGCCCATGAAAGCTTATGCCCAAATAAATTTGTTAGTCTCTAAGGTGTCACAAGTACTCCTCGTTGCTTTTGCTGACACAGACTAACATGGCTACCACTCTGAAACCTGTCTTTAGTCGATAACTACAGAGATCGGCTCCAAAACAAAAGCATCTTTGTCCACTTGTTATACAAGGGCCATGGCCTCTGAACAAAGAGCACTGTACTGGCATATTCCCCCAGAAAGGGAAGTCTTGGGGGCCAGGCCACCCGATGGCAGGAGTTCTGCTGCAGACAGAGACCCAGGGAACAACAGAGGCTGCCACAGAGAGAGGGGAGTCAAAAAAACCCACCCCAGCAGAGATGCCTGTGGAGAAAGGGGTCCAGGAGAGGGGCATTTTAGTTTGTTTGATTTTTTCCCAAGCATTGTTTAGCTGCTAGACTTTGCTTCCAGCTTGGGTGGAACTGGGTGAAGGCGATATAAAGAACTTGCTGGCTGTGACTGGCTCTGAGTGACAACTTACTGCATTCACCAAAAATGTGTCTCCTTCTGATTGCAGGACTCCTTGCTGTAAACAGCTAAGAGTCATTGAAAAGCAAAGAACAACATGATTAGGAAATCCCAGATACCAGCTCATGCCAAGGACCTCAAGCCTCAGTGGAACACTGACAAATACACTGCTGGAACCATTCTGGCTCACCTGTGTGTAAAAAGGCGTTAGAATTATAAAAATGTGCTTAGTGTTTAGACTTTATTGAATGCTTGTAAGATGCTGCATGTATTAATCTCACTTCTAACATCTGTACCCCATATTGTAAGGTAATATTTAAGCATTTGTATTATAAGTCTCTGTGACTGTGTAAGTCACCAGACAGGAGACATTAATTAGTGTAAAGTGCTGATCTCCAACAGAAGGTGTTATGTCCTGTCTCAAAAGAAAGGCCCAGGTGAACTATTGTGAAACATCAGAGAGGACAAAAGAGTTTGTTGATTGCTATCCCCCCCTCATGAAAAGGAGTCATGCAAGTGATTTCCTTCCATCAGCTGAGTTTGCAGCTCAAAACACATGAAGGAGAAGCAAATAAAATCCCTAACAGGGAGGAACTGTATCTTTATGCTGCTTGGACTCTGAGTGGCAAGGATTACTAAGCATAAGCAAAAGATCCTCAGTGCTTAGCCTGGGTTATCCCTAAAGGACATATAGAGCTTGCTTATTATGGAAGCTTCTATTACTTTTTAAAGCTTAAGATTGGAACTCATTTGTGTGTATATATGCTTACCTGCTTTAACCTTGTAAATAACTCTTGTTTCCTTTTCCTATATAATAAATCTTTAGATAGTTTGTTATAGGATTGACTGCAAATGTCGTCTTTGGTGTGAGATCTAAAGTGCAATTGGCCTAGGGTAAGTGACTGGTCCTTTGGGACTGAGAGTAACCTGAGGATTGCTGTGATCTTTGGTGTAAGGGACCATCAATCACAAAAATACACTTATCTGGGTGGCGAGATACATCAGAGTACTCAAGGAGACTGTCTGCCTGGGGAGTTGACACTTGATAATTGATTAGCGACATCTACATATAGAAGTCACAACCAGTGTGGGGTTTGTGCCTTGTTTCCTAACAGTCTACCCTGAGGTTGATTCCCACAATTGTGAGCCACTGCAGGATCGCTTAATACCCATCCAGCAAGAGAGAGAGATATGGGATAGCCAAAGGAGACCCATCCTAGTGAAGCCCAAGGTGAGGGATAGGGAGAAACATCACATGTGACCCAAAGAGGAATCACTTACAACCATCATTTACATTAAAGACTTACTTTCACCTCTTGGGCAATGTGGCCCAGATAATAATATCCATCAGTCTCTCTTCTAGCCAGGACTTGGGCCCCCCTCAGCAAATGGGGAGCCTCTAGGGACCAGTCCATTAAATCTTCCTTTGTCAAGGTTGTCAGAGGTATAGTAGGGGAATTTGCACAGACACATATAGGAAAGCTGTGGAAACAGAATAGTGGTATGTTCTAAGAAGGGATTAAGATTCTCACAATAGATAATGCAGATTTCTGCAATTTATGAAAATTAAAGCCAAAGAAAACCCACCCAAACCTGGGGTGGTTTCCAAGTTGTTTCCTTCGCTAGGTTATCAAATTGAGCTACTACTCTGATGGTTTTGGCAGTCCCATGCTCCACATTTTGAACTTACTGTGCTTTGGGATGACTCATCAGCAGAGAACAAGAGGGGTATTTACTGATAACATTGCAACAATGGATGCTTGAGGTACACCCTGGGTTTACCTGGAAAACAGGAAGAAGAAGCAGAAAATTAAACTAATTTCTGAATGAAGCCATAAATCCTTAAACCAGTTATTTTATATTTAAAGCCTTAATCCATACGCAAACAAAATTCAGCAATCTATCTTGGTTCTTAACCACACCTCTCAATGTAGTATATGAGCTTTTATAAAAAGAAAAGGAGTACTTGTGGCACCTTAGAGACTAACCAATTTATTTGAGCATGAGCTTTCGTGAGCTACAGCTCACTTCATCAGATGTATACCGTGGAAACTGCAGCAGACTTTATATACACACACAGAGAATATGAAACAATACCTCCTCCCACCCCACTGTACTATAGTTGATTTCTCCCATTTCAAGCAATCTAAAGGTTTAAAAGGAAGAACATTAAGAGACTAGAATATAAATACAAAATAAATCAAAGATGTTAACATATGATAGCTAAATGATCGTCTGTTTCTTGTCAGTGTCCAAGTGCCCTGCATAACCCTTTTATTAAGATGTGATCCACACTGTGAAAAAAATCTGTGAACACCAATGCTAGACAAATGCCAAGTGTTATTAATATTTTGTTTACTAAATGCACTGCTTAACATTACTGTTATTTTTTTAGAAGGACAATATTCAATGTTACCTGCTGATGGTGACCCAAATACCAATGGGATGTCTAAAAAGATATTTGGACCGATTGTAGCCAACACTGCTGCACAGACAGCTCGGATGGTAAATGTGAAATCAATTGGCAGGAGTAAGGTATACTTTCTTTGCAAGGGCTTCCTCCAGGATCTCCACCTCATTCCCCAAGACCATAGTCTCTCTTTTCAAAAGCTGGAATCAGTTCATTTGAAAGCCTATCTGCACCAATTCACAGGCCAAATCCAGGTCTGGTGAAGTCAACGGGTTTGCACCTATATATATCTAAATTTGATCCCTAATACTGGTCTCAGGTATTGCTGTTCAAGAGCACTATGAGATGCTCCCCTTCCCCTGAGGTAGAGCATACTGCATGCACTACACTCCCAAGTATGAGTCTAAAGTTGTGAGCACTACAGAAAGGGAGAGAGTACTCATTAGAACAACTGTGTGCATGTGCAATCTTGAAATTTCTGACATAATCTTTAACAGAGATTCTGAATTTATTTCCTTTCTTTAGTCACAGGCAGCTCTGTTTGCAGGTAGCCAGACAAAATATGTAGTGGCCACCTTTCTAGAGAGAAATATTCCTCTGCCCTAGCTCTGGTTTTGTGAAATTTTGTTTATGAGGACGGGGATTACCAAACATTCATTTAATCTAAAACTGCTGTTATTGACTTACCTCTTCTGAAGCTCCAGGAGGGTGTGGGGTGATCACCTGAAAGGATCCTCCAGACTGTCTGGCTACTTTCTCCATTTCTTTTTGTGTGCTGCTTTCATAGTCACCTGGCTTTTCTACCAAGTACACAGTGTGCACTGGGCGTTCCTCTCCAGTCTCTGCGAGAAGGCTACAGATTTCCTCTGAAGCACTCTCAGAGAGTGCATCAGTGACCAAGTATACCACCTGGCAGGTGGGATCTTCAAATGCCATAGCCAAAGCACTCACAGCATCTGCACCATTCCCACACTGCAGAGCTCTAATCCAGGCGGTTGCTTCAATGATGTTACTGAGCGAACATTTGACCAAACTATTGCACCATTTTATCACCTGTACAAAAGCCAAAATTTTTAACCAAACACAATAAACATCAATTAAACAAATATTTTATAACACATAATTGTTTTAAAACTCGTTAAAACTGAGAAATGAGTTAGCTAGTTGATATTTTGGTAAATGGTCTGACATATATGAGATCTGGGACTTGATTCTCAGCCTGCTCATCCTCTGGGGTGGAGAAGGGAGTTTCTTCCATCTTGCAATACAATTGCTCTAGTCAGCTAAGATCTGATGGGCTCTACATTTTCTGGAGAAGAAACCGGGGTGCCATTCTATGGTCTTTAAGGGTGAGGGGAGTTTTGAGGCTCCCAACAGGGTTGTAGAGGATTTCCTTGGAGGAAGATGGAAGGAGAATAAGAGGAATTTACCACCCATCAAGGGCTGTGGTAGAAAGCCAGAAATTTCCCTGGTTAAAAATGAAAAGGAAATGTTAGTCTTATGATGGTGTCTTATGAGAGCCTCTGTGTAATCACAGATTCTAAAGGCCAGGTTCGTTGCTATCTAACTCCACCTCATGTTTTTCTGTATACCATCTGTATAACTCAGTATGGTAACTGTGAGCTGACTGATTTTAGTCAATATGCTAGATTACTCTAACTCCCTCTGTTCTAGAGTTATTTCAGTCATGGACAGAGAGAAAAGACCAAATCTTAGTGAAGTTATGAAGGGAAAAACAGCAAGTTTTGGACATGTCCTGGATGTGCTGGGTTAGAGAGATGAAAGAGTCAAAGATAATATCACATTGCGGGGCTGGAATGACAGGAAGGATGGTACCAGGGCTGGCTCCAGGCACCAGCTTTCCAAGCAGATGCTTGGGGCGGCATTCAGAATGGGGCTGCAGTCCGTGTCCCGTGGTGGCAATTCGGCGGCAGCTTGGCTGCTCTTCCCGCCACGGCGGCTTTTGGGGGCAGTTCTGCCACTCTTCCGGGCGTGGTGGCAATTCGGCGGCAGCTCCGCCACTGTTGTGGCAGCGGCAATTCAGCAGCAACTGCTTGGGGGCGGCAAAATTGGTAGAGCCGCCCCTGGATGGTACAGTTAACAATAGTGACAGATAGTGGGAAGAGAGGTCAGAAGTTCAGTTTTGGCTATATTAAGCTTCAATTGTTGGTGAGACATACAAGAGAAGATGTCAGAGAGCTGGGTTCCATGTTCCCTCAACTAAAGGAAGATATGGTGATAGGGCAACAGGAAAGTCATCTTTCACTATTCTAGAAGAGGACCACCTGGATGGGCAAAGTGCGAAAGGGATGATGAGAACCAGGCAATAAGGAAGCAAGTGTAAGGAAGCATGCATGAAAGATCCCAAGGCATCTACCAGCAAATCCCATCCCTTTCCATTTGTTCCCAGCGCTCAGAGGCCAACATTGCTACTGCATGAGAATGCTCTTCCAGATTTTGAAGTATTACCATGCAAATGAGTGGAACCACCATCACACTTGATGTTAGAATTCCGTTTTTTGACACTGCCACAACTGTCAGCTCTTAAACAGGAGCAGGATATCCCCAGGCCAGCTGTGGAACCAAGTACTCAGAACACAAGAAATTATACTATGAGGAATAGTCCTATGCTGGCAGGGAGAGGGACTGGGTAATCCACTAGGCATTTTCCAACCCTATTTTATTATACTTATTTCACCCCACTGGGGACCATTAACTTGTTACAGCCACCTCACCTGGCAGAGATTACACTAGTTAATTACTATAATTCAAACACAGCAACAATTATAAGCATTGTTTCCACTGATGTCACCTTACTATGCTTTCTTATAAAACCTTAACCCTTTGCCCAGCAATGGCTGCGTCGGCATTACCTTGCTGGCAAAGCTTATGATGTTGAATGTGGACTCTGTTGGCCTGTTGGCCATCAAGAAGAGAGTCTTTATGAGATGCTCCTTCAGAAAATCCTGCTTGGAGGACATGCCTTCCAACATATTGACCACAAAGGTGACATTCCGGTCTTGGAGATCACCAACCAAAGGTAAGGTGGCACAGTAGGGATGAGAAAGCACCGACATGGCCAAAGCATGAAGACAACCAGCTGCCAAAACAAACAGATCATTTATGAAAAGATCCTTAAAACTGACTTTACAAAGGGCTTGGGGTACAAGGTGAATCCAATCTATTCCCAATACCTGTGCTAAATTAGCAGTCATATAACACTCAGTGTATTTACTTTCCCATAGTTCTCAACTGCTTTAAAAAAAACACACCCAAAGCATTGTCTGTACTACAGCATCTGATCACAGTAGCAGGATGCATCGTGTAGGCACTCAGATGAATGAGCTTGCATCAACTACTGCACCACCCTTAGAACTTGTAGGGAGTAATTTTCACACACTGTTAGCCAGCAGACATCAACTGTAGCATCAATTTGTGTGTGCATGCAATTTCATTTCCCATTAACTCAGGGACATTACAGTTAACTCATCACTCTCTCATGCAGATAAAGCCTCTTAAAAACAATTCCCATTGGTGCTATCACTAGTTTAGCTGCATGGGCTAGTAGAACCAGCAGGGAACTTAGTTTAGGAAAAGATATGCTGGTTTCCAGCATTTTAATACTTTGTTAATTGCAGAGTTGTTGCCAACTCTCATGATTTTACCATGAGTTTCACACTACCTGGTGTTTTTCTTAAAGTTCCAGTTCCTGGAATCATGTGATTACAGGAGGCTCTCAGCTTTCATTTAAAAAATAAAACTCAGTTTCTAGCCCTCAGGCTTCAAAATGTCACCTGAGTGTGACCTAGAGGTTCAAAAACCAGAAGGAAAATAAAAATGACCCAAAATGTATTATTTTTCTGTAAATCTCTTGATTTTTAAGTCAATCTCATGATTTTGGGGGGGCCTGAGTAATGATTTTTGAATACTTGGGGCTGGCAATCCAACCTTCTCCTCCATGCCTATGCTTGGTACTTTCACCCCTAAAATTCCCTATCCCGCTCCGAGCCTTTTCTGTCTGGAAGGTGGCGGCCATCACTGCCCAGCCCTGCTTTGGGCTCCCTGACCAGCATGGAACCCGATGTATTTGTATTGGTGAGATGCAGAGAACGGAGGGCAGGGCACAGTGTGTGTGGGGGGTGGATCTCTTCCCTCCGCCCCCAGGGCAGGGGCAGGTGTGTGTGTGGGTCTCTTCTACCCCTCAGGGCAGGGGTCGGTGTGGGTGTGTATGCGTTTCCCTCTGGGCCCCCAGGGCAGGGCACAAATGTGTGGTGTGTGCCGCCGCCCCCCCCCCGGGCAGGGCAGTGTGTGGTGTGATGTGGCCCCCCAAGGGCAGGGGTGTCTGGGGATGCTCCTCCCCCCGCCCCGGGCTCCCACTTACCCGGCTCCCACTCGCTTGTCGGAATCTGCAGTTTAGGATGCCGTTGCCTAGTAACCAGGCGCCTTGGACGGAACCATCTCCGGAGCTGGGTGGGAGCCTTTTTCTGCACGTCCGTTAATACAGACTAAGGTAAAAAACACACACACACCTCTACGGGAGAACGCGCCGTGGATAGCTGTGGGGAGTTGCCATGTTTCTCTCGCTCCTCTTTATCCGCCTTAATGAAGGGGTTCTGCTCATCGGATCCCCCTCCCAGGATTTGGTAGCGTCTGGACCGGTACCACTCCTGGAAAAGGGGGGGGGGATAACAATTATTTACTTACCATAAGGATGGAGCTTCTCCGCATTACTGGGACCGGGAGGGCGTCACTTCGGGTAAGCGTCCCCGTTGCAGGGCCGAGGCGGTAGGGTTGTCCCTGTCTCTCTCTTTCCCTCCTTCCGTGGTTACAGTTGGTATGTGCCCTCTGGGGCTCAGGCCAATCAGTGCGGCTCTTGTTGGGAGGCCACGTTCCCGCCCCCCCCAATACCGGAAGGTGACATTGGGGAACGGGCGGGCGGCTCGGCCGGTGGCGTCATGCTCGGGTCTCTGGGCCGCTCTGGGGGCGGCCTGGTCCGGATCCTCCGCGCCAGAGACGTGAGGGGAGCGGCCGGGCTGCGGCAGTGAGTAGGGGCCGGGGCTGGGCCGGGCCGGGCTGGGCCGGGGGCGCCTGGCGGGCGCTGACGGGCCCCTGTGTTTGCCTCCCTTGCAGCGCGGGGGGCGGGGTGCACATCGAGCCCCACTACCGGCAGTTCCCGGGGCTGACCCGCCGGCAGGTGATCCACGGCGAGCTCCTCAGCGGCTTCATGTGGTTCTGGATCCTGTGGCACTTCTGGCACAACCCGGAGGCGGTGCTGGTGAGAGGGGGCCGGGCCCGGTGGGGGAAGGGGCCCGTGGGCGGCGGCGGGGTTTCCAATGCCGAGCGCTGCGGTGCCTAGAAAATCATAGGAGCAGCCGGAGTTGAGCCTCTCCGCCCCCAGTACAACGAGTGGGCGAGGGAAGGCGCCTTTCTGCAAAAGTAACCGTGCTGGGTTGTGTAAGTTAGCCAATGGGAGATGGTGACTTGGGTGGGGTATTAAGTCCTATCTCTTTCTCAGCGGGACTGTGTTTGGTCTTGCTGCAGGGAGGCATCTATCCATGAATAGGAACCCCTTTTCTGGAGTCAAGGGGCTTAAGTGATTAAGCTGTTTCTTGTGAGCAGGATGCTCTTGAGGGAATTCTGCACCACACAATTTAAAATTCTGTGCACCGTATTTTAAAATTCTGCATGTTTTATTTGTCCAAATAACACTATATAATCACACCAGTTTCAATTATTTTTGGTCATTTATTTCAAAATACCTGTCAGCAACTATGTCTGAAACAATACAGACAACAAAAAAAATTCAGGAAATGCTTTTTGACAAACCAGTTCCTTACTAGGCATATTAACACGGAACTCTGAGTAATAATTCATTTAAACTACAGTACAGAACCGTATTTCCCACACCCCTGAGAAGCAGTGTAAAGGCTTGGGGGAGTCAGGGGGTAACAAAGGAGCTGAGGAAGAGGGAAGTAAATTGCTGGAAAGGAGCCTGGGTGTGAACTTGGAGGGTGTTGGGTATGGGTGGGAAAAGTATGGAACAGGTTTTTTGGTGGGGAGGTGATGGATTGTTAGGAAGCTTCCCCTTTGCCTCTCCCAATTAGTCAGGCACATCTGCCCCTGTCGACATGTGTTCCTCCACCCCCACTCAGGCACACCTCCCCTGTCCCCATGTGGCTCTGTACCCCCTGCCCCATCCCTGTGTGTGTCTCTGCCGCCACGCCATGGCCCTGTCCTCCCCCACTAGCCCTTCTGAGCCCCTGTCTGACCGCACCCCAGAATACCATGCTGTCTTTCTCCCCATAGCCTCTGTTTCCTGACCTGATCTGACAGGTGCTGCAAAGAAGGCAGGCTCTTTCTCTCCCCTCACTGGCTGGGAGCTGCTGCTGTGTCCTCTGGTGGGCAAAAGGTGGAACTGCAGCAACATTTTGGCAGAAGCTTTTTTTTTTCACAAAATAAAAATATGCATGGCTCATTAATTATGCATACACGCAGAAGTGCAGAATTCCCCCAGGACTAGTATGAGTTAAGCATCTGCCTCACTCTACACAAGATGGCCTGAAGTAGGAGGTGGCAGCACTGGTAGTTGAGTCCAGTGGTTAGAGCACTCACTTGAGATGTGGAAGACCCAGGCTGAAGCTGTGCCACTGTGGATAAATAATGAGATATTCATAGTCCTAGATTCCAAGGCCAGAAGGGACCACTGTGATCATCTAGTCTGACCTCCTGTATGACTTCCCCAGAATAATTCCTAGAGCAGATCTTTTAGAAAAACATCCAATCTTGATTTAAAAATGGTCAGTGATAAAGAATCCACCTTGACCCTTGATATTTTGTTCCCATGGTTAAATATTTTTGACTGTTAAAAATTTAAGCCTTATTTCCAGTCATTGGAATAAGGGGGTTTGTCCTGCTGTCTCCCATTTCCCAGATGGGTGTCCTAACCACTGGACTGTAGAGTCATTTTTACACTCTTGTTTTCTGGGCTACTGACTATTTAAATATTTATCTAAAGTGGAACCGTTACTGGGCCAGAGAGAATGACTGTAGTCCATTGGTTCTGACACTTGCCTGGGAGATGAGACCTCAGGCCCAGTCTTCCTGCTCCAGTCACTTTATTATTTACCCACAGTGGTACAGCTTCAGCAGGAGCCATGGAGGGAGCCCCACATCAGAATATCCCTGAACTCAAATGGTTCAAGCACTCTCCTGAGAGGTGGGAGCCCCCCTGTTCAAATCCTTTCTCCCTATCCAGGGGGGAGTGGGAGGAAGGAAGAATTGAACCTGGCTTGCCCACATCCTAGGCAACTGCTCTAACCTATAGTCTAAAAGTGGAGGTGTGCACCACTATCTTCAGCTCCTCCTCCAGCTGGAATTTGGCACCCTTTAGGGATCCCTACTAAATTGGGCCCCACATGTCACTTAAGTGGCCAAATGCTTATCTTAACCCTGGTTTGCAAATTGCTTTGGGGATTAGGTGGGAGATAGGTATCCAGAGTCCTTGAGGGAGACAGCAGTGCACCTGCACAGAAACAGAGGTTGTTTACCCAAAAACTTAGGTGCCAAGCAAGTTTAGGTGACCACAGGGTTTGGCAGCAGTTTTGTGGATCACAGTGAAGCCAAAACTGGGATTTAGGTGCCTAAGTACCATTCAAACCAATGCCTTTGCCACACCAAACCACCCAGTGCAGGGGGAGATTGATGTTATAGCACCCAAATTTGTTGCATTTTTAGAAAGAATGTGCCTCTAGCATCCATTATAGTTACTAACCAAGTATTCAGGATCGCTTCTTGTGGTAGTATATCAGAAGCTCCCAAACATTTTCCCTGCATGACCCCATTTTCTCATATATTGCTTCCCATGCTTTTCTCCTGAAATAGCCTCCTCCATGCAGCGTGACCTTGCACACATTGTACATGTAAGGTCACGCCATGTGGATTTTGCTTTTCAAGTTAGCATCCTCCAGACCGCATGATCTGCACACACTGTGTGTGTGAGGTCACATTGGAGGGGTCACACCATTTTGTAGAGTAAAATAGCATCCTCCATGCAGCATGACCTTGCACTTGTGTGTAGAGGTTGCCATTTAATGAATGGTGTCATCCGTACACTTAGGATTGCCATGACCCCTATATGCTGATGGAGTGACCCCACTTGAAGTCATGACCCTCAATTTGGGAACCGCTGTAGAAAATGAAATATTCACTAACTATTGTTTGAATGTTCTTCCTCTGCTACAAGGGTCACTTTCCTTACCCAGATGCTTCGAAATGGACAGATGAGGAATTGGGGATCCCTCCTGATGATGAATAGATTTACAGCTCCAGCTACCAGTGTGTAGGTTGTCTTGAAACTTTCCCTTTTTCAGATAATCTTTAGAATGAGCTATACTTAATGTCCAACCTCTGAGCCCCATGAATTGATGTAGAGTGAACACTGAACAGGATTCTCCCATAGCAGTTGATAGATGAGTCCTTAGGTGTTTGTGCTGTCCTATTTGTCATGCTCAGTGTATTCCTGAACATGAAGAGGGATATACTGGCAGACTTCAGGAGCCATTTGCTTTCCTCTGTTAATGTACAGATTCACAGAAGAGGGTGGTAGTTTTTTCTGAAATCTTTTCTTAGCTGTTTGCATTGTCCCCTATTGACTGGGACTTGCATGAGCTTAGAGTGCTTTGTGACTACCCTTATCTAGTTTTGAGGACATGCTACTTTGGCTGGGAATTTGAAGTGGTACTTCTGTCCAGTAAAGGAGTATTTTAACTTACCCTGCTACTAAGTCATTTAGTAATTTTGTGACACCCTTAATCTACTTCATGTAGTGGGATAAACCTTTTATCTTCCACCACTGTTCAGCATGTTTTTTTATAAAAGTTCAAGAATAAACTAAAGCTTTTTTGCATCAAATTCTCCATGTCTATAACTGTTTCCTGATGCCATGACTTACTGTACCTAGTGAAGTAGAGTTGAAAGGCTTTAGATCCCATTCCTAATACTAGGTGTACAGAGGCCCCTAAAACTAGTTTTAATCCTAACAGGATTGTGCTTCAAAGTTTAGTTGTATTGCTTTTTAGGATTTGTCTGGGATGTAAACTGACATCTGTTAAATCTTTTGAGTGGGCGCTTGAGTTTCTAAAAGCTAGTAGGAGGTACCATGCTCATCCAGCGACTGCCTTCTGCTTCCTCTACTAATGCTAGGAACTACTTACATCCTCCTTCAATGGGTTACTATCCGTTTTAAAAGTGTAATGGAGACATTGATTTAGTTCTTCCCACACACCCCTCCCCTCATTTGAAGCTCTCCAGTTAAAGGAATTGTCTTCCCTCCCTTCCCAAGTATCAAAAAGATGAAAGTATTTGCTGTCAAGCCCTTGTTTCCATCGAAGACTGGTTAAGAAAAACTTTTTCCAATTGCAGTGGGAATTCAAACAACTGCATTTAAAGAGATCTTTAAAAACCATTGCAGCTGTTAATGTAGGTGTTTTTTGCACTAGAACATTATCCTGGGAAAACAGGTTCCGGCCAAAAAAGGCCTAAGTAGATGGTTTGGGTTTTATTGGCATATGTTTGTACTGATATGGGAGGGACTCTGACAACCTGAGTTTCTCAATTTTCTTCCCATTTGTCACTTGCAGGTCCTGTGGTGGGATCTCTGAAGAAGTTGAGGCTTTGGCTG